GCACACTAGTGTGCCACGGCACAGTGGTTGAAAAACACTGTCCTAGAGAAAGAGGGTCACATTTAAGTCAGAATGCTTGGGGAAGGGGGAGAGAGATAGGAATGACACAGAAATGACACAGAACAACCACCACGTGCTTCCCTATGAAGCTCTCTAGTTGTGCTCAGCACTTCTTGTGGCTTAGAACTTCCTTTGAAATATCAGGCTTTTGATTCATGTTAAACTAAACAATGGAATTCCAGAGTTCTTTGCAATGAGAAGCCTATGGATACCACTGCTAGGCTGGCAGCATATCCCACCAATGTGACAATTGCCTCACTGTTAGAATACATTGCACACGTCCATCTGGCATTTCCTGGCACTATTTGTTTTTCTCAGAAATCGCCTTTTTGCCTGCTTGCTTTTATGACAAAGACTTTAGGCAGCCTTGGCTTCATTGCTTTGCTGACTACAGTATGTTCCTAGTTAGAATACTTGCCACTTTACTCAAAGGCTGCTGCTAGGAGACAGTCCATGCTAAGGATAAGTAGAAATTAAGCAGGGCAGTTTTCTTTGGGCAGTGTATGTTAATTCAAGTAGAAAAAATCATGGAACTGAATAGATTGGATTCTGTAGAACTGAATTGTGAAACTTACTGGAAATAGAACAAAAGTGCCAAGAGAAGGCCAAGTGAGGAGAGGCAAGCATAGTTTAGTGGCTACTATAGGAAGTTAAAACCCACCCCTGATCAAAGCTCAGAGAGGGAATAAAACTAGGGACCTTCAGCATCTCATTCTCTTTTCTTCTTCACCCAACATCTGGAAGCATGTGACCCTCCCTTTTCTGTTCAGGAGCTGAAGTCATGTGGTCCTGTCCACCATTAAACCATCTTTCCAAGCAGCCTCCATGTTTTCAGTGTTTTTTCCCCCACTTGGAACTGAATCCAGAAGGATTTCTTCCATGCGCAGAAGCCAAAAACAAGATGGTGGCACCGCACAGAGAACCGGTTCGGAGATGTGGTGGGCCTGGATTGCTGCCAGTTCCAGTGACCCAGGCTGCCAAACCACTACTGGTTCAGCTGAACCGGTCCAAACCCACCACTGATAGGAAATATGGTTACAGGAATTAGGTATGTCTAGTTTAATGAAAATAAGGATTAGGGGAGACATGATAGAACTATTCCAATATTTGAGGGGCTCCTACAAAGATGATCTTTAATCTCTTAGTGGGTTTTGATATTACCTACCAATGGTATTCTTCTGCACCATCTGGGCGGGTTGGGAGCATTGTGTCGTACTATTCTGCCTTTTTTCCTAAATGGTTATTTTCAGTGTTAAAAGAAGGGAAGAGATTATGCTCATGCACTGCTCATTGTAACAATTCAAGGCGCTGGCTGTCATCTATAAAGTCCGTTTATGTTACCGGGCCTGTTTAGCTGCAGAATTACCAGTCTTCAGTCATTTCTGCCCACTTAATGCATTCAGGCAGACTAGTATGTCTTGGACCCCCTCAATTAAACTGCCAGTTTAATCAATCAAACAGTTGTGGGGAGTGTGTCTTCTCTGGAACTGCATCCCTTCAGGAATGCAAATGGCATCCATCTCCTGGGGTTCCAGAAGGTCCTTAAGACTTCGCTTTGTTCTCAGGCCTGGGATTATTGTGTAAGTGAAGCCCCTGTTGTGTTTTTAATTGTTATGACTGCTTTTGTCTGGGCTCTTATGCTTTGTGGCTAGTCATATTAAAACTCAGCATTTTGGTTTATTCAATACATAATCACTATAATTAAATAATTAGAGGCTTATGTTGATGTAGGACTAAGGTCAGAGCCAAAATCATTTGTTATTACCAAAGACCGCACTACATTTCACTAACTGGTTGACTTACCCACTTTAAAAGTATCCTTCTGCGCTGTTTAACCTGACAAGGTCACCCATCATTCCATGAATCATGACTTATGGGTTTGCCCAATTGATTCATTAAAGTGGCCCTATGGCTGGATTGATACAATGTAGCAAGCAGATAATATTGAATCAGTGGCTGCATTTAAACATGCTGCTATTCTAGGTTAAAACAAGATTGAGTAATTTTTGAGTCAGTGTGTTCTGAAATCCCAAGGTTTGTCTTAACCTCCAAAATGAATCAGGAGAAGAGCAAAATATGGTTGGTTGGTTGGAATATTACAGTGGTGGGTTGCAGGCGGTACGCCCCAGTATGGGTGTACTGGAGCCTGGCTGGAGCACCGGGTACCGCTCCGGTAAGGTGCTCTGGAGGGCACACCTGCCCGCCCGCCCTCCTTACTGGTGTTTAAAGTCTTCGGCGCTTCCGAGCAAGGCACTTACAGTGCCTGCGCGATGCTCTGCCGAGCAGCTGGAGCGTCACGGAGGCTAGCAGAGGCGTCGCTGGATGGTAAGATGCATGCATGCGCAGCACACATCCATGTGGACGCTGAACCCGTTCCAACCGTACTGGTTGGAACAGGATCCAGAACCCACTATTGGAGTATTACATAAACTGGGTTTAGAATTCAGCGTGTTGTGTGAACTTATGACAATAAAAGTTATTTCCAACTGCAGTTAATTGCAGGCCCCTCCACTCAGACACCCATTGCACTAAAAGCAGGCCAAAGCCAACCAAGGTCTGCAGTTGTCGACTTCACAACCACAGTGGAGTCCAAATCTCTACGTGGGTATATGTATAATTTTGTATTTATTCATCTTGTCATGGTTACGTAGTGCATATTGGAGGTAGTGACCCTTTGAGAGCTGCCTGCAACAACAAAAAAATTACCTTCTCATGTTTAGGTACTGTAAAATTGGAGGTAGTGACCCTTTAAGAGCTGTAAGCAACTAAATTTCATTTTAATGTATGCCGATTAGTGTACATTCAGAGTGATAATAATTGTTAAGTGAGACACGTGTAAAGTGAGTCTTGCCCCATTTCAGAATCTTTCTTACCACCGTTAAAAGGAACCACTGCTGTTGTTTTACGACAGTAACACGGTCGTTAAGTGAATCCGGCTTCCCCGTTGATTTTGCTGGCAAAAGTAAGTTGCAAAAAGGGATTGCAATGACCCTGGGACCCTCATAAATATGAATCCATTACCAAGCGTCTGAATTTTGATGATGTGATTAAGGGGATGCTGCACAGGCCCAAAGTGTGGAAAAACCGGTCGTAAGTCACTCTTTTTCAGCGCCGTTGCCACTTTGAACGGCCACTAAATGAATTGCTGTAAGTCAAGGACTACGCTGAGGGGGCCCTACAGGCGGCTCTGCAAAGCCTCGGGCGGCCAACAGGGGGCAGCACAGCCTCTGGAGGACTCTGCTCTTCGCCGCCCTCTAACCGCCAGCCAGGGCGCTGCACCCCGGAGCCTCCGCGGGCCTTCCCTCATCGGCAGCGCGACCCCGCCGCCGGGCCTCAGCTCGGCGGCCTCTCCGCCTCCTCCGGAGCTGCTCCTTTAAGACCCGGCCTCCGCCTCCACCGCCGCCCTCCTTCCTCCTCACGACGCGGAAGCGGCCACTGCCGGGCCTAGTGCGGCTGCTGCTGAGGCGGCAAACGACCTCACTTCAGGCTGCTGTCGCCGGCCTCCACCGGCCCTGCTATGCCGCCGCCGCAGCCCTCGCCTTCTCCCTCGCCGCCGGTGCCTCTGCAGCCCCTGAGCAGCTGCGGCCCGTGGGAGATGCGCGAGCGGCTGGGCACCGGCGGCTTCGGCAACGTCCTCCGCTGGCAGCACAAGGTGAGCGGGTCTGACAGGAATTGGTGGGAAAGGGCCAGGGGGGAGGGGGTTGGTCTGGCGCGCGCCTGACAAGAACTGGCGGGAAAAGGCCGGGCCCGAGGAGAGGGAGAGAGGGGAGGCTTTTGCCCGCGAGTGCCCTCGAGCCACAAGGAGGCCCCTCCCCTGCCCCTCCTTTCTTGCCCCCCCCCAAGGAGAGAGGGCGTCAGAGAGGGGGCTTTGGGTTGGGGGGGAGGTTCCCGCCTTTTCCAGCTTCCCCCCCCCCCNTAGTATAAATAATAAAGGTGATAATGGACAACCCTGTCTCACTCCTTTCTATATCTTAACTTATTCTGTACTGTCACTATTTATTATTATTTTTGCTGTCGGGGCCGAATAAATCTCATTATTTTTAACTGTGTGATACTAAAATGCCAATTTAAGTTATCAAAGGCCTTCTGGGCATCTAAAAAGACAAGTGCAACTTGTTTTCCCAGATTCTCTTCATAGTATTCTATGGTATTTATAATTAGCCTCATATTGTTTTTTTACCTGATATCATCTGGCCCAAATGTCTATGGAGATTCTCAATCATCCAGGTCAAGGTTGTTCCAAAGGTGTTTTTTCCAAAAAGCAACTGGACTTTCTTGGTTTTTTCCTTTGAAAACTGAAATGAAGAAACTTCTTGAATAAGAAGCAAAATCTTTTCCAGGGGAAAAAAACAAAGAAAGTCCTGTCATCTTTTGGAAAACATTATGGGACATTATTCTGACACATTGTTCCAGATAAACTACTCTATGACAAATCTAAGGTTTTCTTCTTCAGAATGAGGGAGCATTCCTGAGTCAAATGCATTGCAGACTCAGACAGTATCATTAATAGGGAAAAATTCTGACAACTGTAGTTGAGCAACATCTGATGGGATACAGTTCCTGTTCCTGATATTTAATTGGAACCAGCTCTTGAAGTCAGGGGAGTTTCCCATCATGTGACATGTGATCATCTGATCTTGACCTCCTAAACAAGATCCATAGATTTCTGTCAATTATAGACTCACAGAATGGTTGAGTTAAAAGGAATCTATAGCATATCCAGTGCAAACCTTGTTTACTGCAGGAATATAGTAAAGGATCCACAACAGCTGGTCATTCAGATCCCATTCTCTGCTTCTGTACAGTTCATTGCTCTATATCAGGGGTGTCAAACTCATGTTGTCACGTTGTCATCATGTGACGTATCGCAACTTTCCCCCCTTCGCTAAAATGAGGGTGGGCATAGCCAGTACGTGACACATCTGGCCTGCGGGCCACGAGTTTGACAGCCAAGCTCTATATAGATGCTTACAGAGAAAAGCCTTGCATAATAGAATTATATTGCTCTATATTTCACCCTGCTTTGGAACTGTGGTGCTGTCCTTTGGAAGGACAGATCTTGAAGCCGAAGCTCAAATACTTTGGCCACCAAATGAGAAAAGAACCTGAGGTTGTGGAAGATGGAAGGTGAAAGGAGGTGGGGAAGGCAGAGGACGAGATGGTTAGATAGTGTCATTGATGCAGTGGGCATGACTTTGGCCAGACTTCAGGAGGCAGTGGAAGATGGGATGGTGGTCCATAGAGTCATGAAGAGTTGGATATGACTTAGCAACTGAACAACAACATATCTCACCCCTTTCCATTGTGCAATTTTGCTTTATCTCATCTCATAATGGGATTGTGGGAGATGAGATCCCTGCAGAATGTAGTCCTTGATTTAACAAGTTTGCCTAGTGATTGTTCAAAGTTAGAAAAGCAATGAAAAAAGTGACATGACCATTTTTCACACATTATTGCAGCATCCCCATGATCACACGAACAAATTTCAGACACTTGGCAACTGGTTCATACTTACGACGGTTGCAGTGTTCCAGGATCAAGTGATCACCTTTGGTGAACTTCTGACCAAGCAAAGTCAGTGAAGAAACCAGATTCACTTAACAACCATGTTACTAACTTGCAGTTATTCACTCAGCAATGACAAGAAAGGTAATAAAATGGGACAAAATTCACAATAAATGTCTCCCTTAGCAACAGAAATTTGGAGCTCAGTTATTGTCATAAGTCAAGGACGACCTGTACAGGACGATGGATAAATCTACTCTTGGGATTCTAAAACACTAATGCTCTCATTATCAGGTTAACATTTCTGATACAGAAAGAAAAGCTTCCTATGTTCCTATTTCACTTCCTACATATATTTTCACTTATGACCACTTTTCACACTTATGACCATTGCAGCATCCCCATAGTCACATGACCAAAATTTAGACCCTTGGCAACTGGTTCATTTTTATGACAGTTGCGGTATCCCAGATCATGTGATCACCTTTTGTGACCTTCTGACAAGCCAATGGGGAAGTCTGATTCACTTAACAACTATATTACTAACTTAACAACTGTGGGGAGAAAGGTTATAAAATGGGGCAAAACTCAATAAATGTCTCACTTACCAACATAAATTTTGGGTTCAATTATGATCATGAGGACTTAAAAAAATCTCTGGATTCAGAGTTCAGGAGAAGGGAAAGGGGTTAAAGAGGGGAAAATGTGAGATGAAAATCTACCATGTTTGATTTTTGAATGCTGACCAATAGAATTGGGATATATTTTCTCAACCTCACTCTGGTTGCACTAATTGCTCAGATTGGGCACAAACTGGTATATGAATAATAGGAAATACACATATAGGGGGAATATACTGTGATTAGTTTACTTTTCATTTTCAAGTATTGTTATTTTCAGACCAGGAAAACATTTGTTTTAAATATGCAGTTGAGAAGATGTCTTCCCACCAGCTCTGTGATATTTTTTCACAACAATAGCACTGTTTTATGTACTGCATTAGAAATCAAGTCAATGGATCAATTTATGATGAATGTAATTATTTTGCAGGATAATTTTTTCTAGAATGTCCCCTTTTGGAATTAGAAACATTTGCCCTCCTCTAGCCATTCGGAACTGAATAAAAGTCTAGTCTAGTGAAGAGAAGGTCTCGAGTGACATGAATGATAGCAGTTTTTCAATACTTGACGGGCTATCACAGAGAAGAGGGGGACAAACTATAAAGCACCTGAAGGCAGGACAAGAAACAACAGGTGTTCACCATCATATCTCCATTTTCATTTGACTAAAATTGTTTAAGTGTCCTTCATCATAACATGTATGAATATTTGAGTTAAAATACTTAAGAATATGAATTATGTTTGTTGACTGTAGAAGATAGCAGCTTATCTAGTCTTTAGAATTTCATAAAAATACTGAAATGTCGCTAGACCATCAGTGTATTCCTTAGCACAACATATTAAACCATAAATTATAGTTTACAAACCACAGTGGCTGGATTCATGCAACATACTAAGCCAAAATTAAACTATAAACTTTAGACTCATTTATGAACCAAGCTCGTATTTATATAATTCTGGGTCTTTACTTTATTTTAAAAAATCCTTCAGTCCTTCATGATAAATAAAGCTCTTCCAATTCTTTGGTCTAAAATTTATTTCCAAAAATGTCTCTACAGAAATGATCTTAGAAACGGTCTTCTGTATGGCTGTGTGTTAAAACTGCTTTTAACTGACATTTGAGCAAGTTTTAGAAACTGGCATTTGAGAAAGTGCTTTGTTTTTATATAGTCTCTTTTCCTTCCTATTTCAATGCATTTTGCAGGGAGGCCATTTATGATTAAATTAGAAGAATTGGGAAGAGCTTAAAAAGATCAAAACCATTAGAATGTTTAATTTGGAGCCCCTGATAGGGTGCAAGAGTGCCAGCTGGTGGACGAGCATCCACATTGCAGATGATAAGAGGGCTGAACAACCTCTGCAGCAACACAATGACATCAGAAGCAACTTGAGAGGATGAGGCATAACAATGGGATGGGTGGTTCCCGCTTACCCTAATTAAGAAATTATTCAGAATGGAAGGCATTAAACTGATGAGTAGAATGGAATATTATTAAAATTAAAAAGAATCAAGGAATAGCAATAGCAGTTGGACTTATATACCGCTCCATAGGGCTTTCAGCCCTCTCTAAGTGGTTTACAGAGTCAGCATATTGCCCCCAACAACAATCCGGGTCCTCATTTTACCCACCTCAGAAGGATGCCATGCTCACCC